CTTCAGATCCATCTCCAGAGTGGTGTCAGAACTCTGCAGGGTAGATGGTGGTGTCCCAATCAGCTGTTAGAAAGACAGGAGAATAAGTATCAGGAGGACTAGATGGCTCAAGTGACTGTTACATGGAATACGCTGCCTTTCTCTCTGGGACAGCTCAGGAGCGACAGAAGTGTGTTACAATCCGGTGGCTGTTTGGTGATCCATCCAGAATGTGTTTGGCCTTTGATTAGTTCTTAACTGACAAGTGTTTACATCACAAAAAAATGTTCCCCTGCTGAGTGAATTCATCTCTGCGTGGAGGGAAAAGCGGGAGTACTCTCCAGGAATAATTGATCTTTGGGAGTGGAGAGCGTTCCTGCATGAGTCCATTTCTGAGCAAGTGGGAAAATGCACTCCCTGCTCTGTGCAGAAAGGATTTCCCATAATTGGCCAGGTGTTGTATGGGGCTTTTCACCTTCCTCCAAAGCAGTGGATAGCACTGGAGGCAGGCAGAAGATTCAGTAGTCTGGTTTGCTAGTCAAATCCTGTTCTCCATCTGCCTCCCCCCGCAATCTCTGCCACAGATGTTTTATGAGAAAAATACAAAAGGGAGGGTATGACTGCACAGTTCAATTAGGTTAAGTGTAACAGTTTAATTTAAACTGTCTTAGCTTTGCTACTGAGGGAGCGGGGCTTGGAGTCAACCTGCAGTCCTGCTACCTAGGATAAGGATCAGGAAGCAGCAGCATCTAGGCCTGATTTGCACACCTGCTGGGCACCTGCAGTTCTCATTGATGTCTGCTGGAGCTAAGGGTGCTCAGCATTTCTCAAAAATCAGGCCTACAGTGATCAGGACAGTGGAAGACCAAGAAATTTCATGTGCGTAGGGTACCAGATTTGGAATCAGGACACCTGGGTTCTTCTATGCCTCCCTTTGTCACTGATTAGCTGGGTGACCTTGTACAAGTAATTTTTCCTCTCTGTGTCCCCACTGTCTATTTAGATTGTAAGTTCTTTGATACAGGGACTGTCTTTTACTATGTACAGTAGAACCTCGGAGTTATGAATACCTCAGGAATGGAGGTTGTTCGTAACTGAAATGTTCGTAACTCTGAACAAAATGTTATGGTTGTTCTTTCAAAAGTTTACAACTGAACATTGACTTAATACAGCTTTGAAACTTTACTATGCAGAAGAAAAATGCTGCTTTTAACCATCTTAATTTAAATGAAACTAGCACAGAAAGTTTCCTTACCTTGTCAATTTTTTTTCAACTTTCCCTTTCTTTTTAGTAGTTTAAATTTAACACAGTTCTGTACTGTATTTGCTTTTCTTTCTTTCTTTTCTTTTTTTTTTTTTTGGTCTCTGCTGCTCCCTGACTGCGTACTTTCAGTTCCAAATGAGGCGTGGTTGACCAGGTCAGTTCGTAACTCTGGTGTTTGTAACTCTGAGGTTCTACTGTACATGTTCAGCTCCTAGCACAAATAGGGCCCTGATCCATGTTGGGGCCACTTGGTGCTACTGTAAAAAACTAATAACAAAATCCAGGTGGATGTTACTGGATGTTGAGTGGGACAACGAAAAGCTTCCCTGTAAAAACAGAGTTCCCTGCATTGCTGCATGGTACTTGGCCAGTGTCCCTTTCACTCCAGCATGCACGCACGCATGCACACACTCACTCAGGAATCCCAAATCAGCTCAGAACTCTGCCTTGTCTGTGACACAGGTGCCAGCAAGTGCATAGCTGGGCCTGGAGCTGGCAGCTAGAAAACACTGTAAAGGGGCCACAGCCGGGGTGAATATTGTTTTCCCCCAACCCTCCCTTTACTGTAGCATACCTCTGCTCCTATTCTGTAAGGGGAGAATGTGATAGAGAGGGGAGGAGAGGATGATGGGCCCTGTTTTCTCTCCCCCTCTCAAGGGCAGTGCCCTCCTATTCCCACCCCTGCCTTACATCCCCTGTGCCAGTCTGGCCTGCCTGTGTGGGAGGCAGCTGATAATCATGGGGCTGAGGTGGACACGGCTTCCCCTCCCTAACACTTGTGTTTAGGGTATGTCTACACTGGAAACTTCAAAGCGCTGCTGTGGGCACGCTCCCGCGGCAGCGCTTTGAAGTGTGAGTGTGGTTGCACACGAGCTCCTGGTAATCCACCTCCACGAGAGGATTAGCTCTGAGTGCTGGGAGCGCGGCTCCCAGCACTCGGAGCCTGTCTACACTAGCACTTTAAAGCGCTCAGACTTGCTACTCTCAGGGGGGTGATTTTTCACTCCCCTGAGCCAGCAAGTTAGAGCGCTGTAAAATGTAAGTGTAGACAAGCCCTTAGTGGCTCTAGGAAGCACAGGTCTCCTCTACACTGGGTATTAAGCCATCAGGGACCACCCAATAGTATAGCTGCACTGCACAACTCCCCAGTGTAGACAGACAGCACTCCTGTAAGCACAGGGAAGGCTGCACTGATGCATTTTCATAGCCAGTCAGCATTAGGGCTATGCACTAGTTCAGCCATGCTAGAGGCTAGACACCAATACCTGGGGCAAACCTCCAGTGTGGACTGGGCCTTCGGCAGTAAGTGGGAGGGCATGCACCTCCCATGTGGGAGAGGACATTAGAATGCACCTGAGTAGTGGAACTTAACACTTAGGATGCTGCAGTGCAGGAGGCTTATGCACAGGCGCTACTCCGTCACTGGAGACAAATTTGTCATTTTGTATTTGGTGCCCAGGTGTTTAGGATTTATACCCAGGGTAGGTACGAATCATGGTGATGGGCATATCAGAAACGGATGAGTAACCTGCCTTCTACAAGAACCCAAACTCTCCAACCCACCTGCCGTCATCTGGGAATGAAAGGGTGGCCTAAGGTCTGTGCTTGGTGAATGTTTGTGATGCCATGAGGACTGATTCAGCAGGGAAGGGACTAGCCTGCAGGCGTCTGTTTCCCCAAGGGCCTTCCTTCCCCACTGTTGCACCCACCTGCATTTCCCGGGTCTGACGTTCCAAACACAGCACGCTCAGGGTTGGCTGCGGAAATCCCCTGTATTTAACTAATTGCTCTAGCCTCTGGGAGAACTCCCACCATGCTGGCTAATCAGTCTTCTCCATGCTGGACTGATTATGCTGAACAAAACTCTTATCTATGTTGCCCCTCAAGCTGAGACTCAACTCCCTCATGAGTATCGTGCCATGTCTGTGAAATACAAATGACTAAGCCAGATAGTCTGTGCAGCACCTGGCTGCCTGTATAGGCTGCCAGCCTTTGTTTGTTTTGTCTCCCCATGCTCAAAAACAGGTTATGCAGGTTAGCAATTCCTCCACATGATTCTGTAGCAACACTTCCCTTCAGGGCTCCCTGAGTTATGGCACATTCAAGGAGAAACCTCCCTCTCTGGCTTAGGTCTCCAGGTACTACCTGTATTGCCATCTGGTGGGAGTAATGTCCTGCCTGCACATGAGCCCCATCAGGAAAGCTTTTACACCTGCCCAGCTAGTTTAGAAAATGTTCACAGATAAGAGTTGGATCCTGCTATCCCTTGCTTTCTCCTGGCAGTGCCTCTGTGGAGATGCTAAGCAGGTTTGGGTTGCAAGGCTGGTTTTGTTTGCCCAGCCCTGCTTTCAACATTTCCTGCCCACCAGCTGTCAGGGCAGACTTGAGGGCTGATATTCATAGTGCTAGGTGAAAGCACCAAGACTAGGCAGGAGCGGGGTGTAGTGTTATCCTTCACTTGCAGAGCTCTAGTGCAGTGGTTCTCAAAATGGGTCAGGACCCCAAAGTGTGTCACACCCCCATTTTAATGAGGCTTCCAGGGCTGGCGTTAGACTTGCTGGGACCCAGGGCTGAAGCCCAAGCCCCACCACCTGGGGCCAAAGCCGAAGTCTGAGCCCTACCGTCTGGGCGCAAAAGCTAAAGCTTGAGGGCTTCAGCCCTGGGTGGTGGGGCTCAAGTTACAGGCCCCTCATCTGGGCCTGAAGTTCTTGGTTTCAGCTTTGACCACCCAGCCTGGGGCAGTGGGGCTCAGGCTTTGGCCCCCTGCCTGGGGCAGCAGGGCTCGGGTGTGCTCAGGCTTTGGTCCCCGCTCCTGGGGTTGTATAGTAACTTTTGTTGTCAGAAGGGGGTCATGGTGCAATGAAATTTGGGAACCGCTGCTCTAGTGACATAGAAGTGTTCTCTCAGGCTTGCTCTGACCTCCAGGATGGCTGCTGCCTAGGCTCAGGGCTATACTGCCATGTATATTTAGACAAGACCCTCCATGCACCCACATACTGGATGCTGTGCTCTGAGATATGAGATGTGGTACTTTATCTATACTCTGCTGCTGGGGCCTCCCCCGCTGGGCCAGGGACAGTAATGTTAGCATTTGCAGTTATCCCCACTGCAAACATAAGACTGCATTCCCCACGTCTCCCTGGAGAGGGAACTCTTCCCTCCAGAGATTTGTTTAGCAAACAGCTAAAGGAGGGAAGCTGGTAAATAGTGTGTTGCAATTGGATGTGGGACTGAGGGAAGTTTAAAGCCAGACTAGACTTCCCCAGAATTCAGGGGCCTTTCAGGCTGATGTCTTGGAGATGGGCCAAGCTGTTCAGATCTGGATCCAGACTTTCCCAGAGGATGAAGGGGCAGGATCCAGTGTTCAATTTGGACTCAACTAGCAAACACTACCACAAGCCACAGAGAAAGGAATAAACACACACCTAACTGGGGCACTATTGAACAGTTAGAGCCCAGGAGCAGGGAGGAGGAAAATTCTCTTGATATCCACCCACTGAGCATGAGTCACTGGAGCTCTCAGCCTCTTCAAACCCAACCGCGTGAAGCTGCCCACGAAAAACCAGAAGAGACAAAAGCCAGACCCAAAGTGACATCAGTTCCTTTAAAACACAACATTTCCCACCATGTCAACTTCAAGATTCATCCTTTATGAGTTCAACAAATGTACAGTAATAACCAGAGAGAGAACACCGGGAATGGGGAAGACAGGGCCCAGTCATGAACAACATCCCTTCTGCTGAGGTACAGCTGAGTGCCAAGCAAAGGCACAGGGCAGCAGGGGTGTCCAGGGATGCATGGACTTACTTGGAGACAGAAATCTCCTTTCAAGGCAGCAGAGGGTGGCCCCTGCGCTCCAGGTTGTGGTGTGCAATTGACACAGTGTATTGGTGGGGAATGAAGCTCTGGACAAGCAGAGAGTCAGGGACTGGACTCCCCTCCTATCCCAAACCAGGGCTCTCCTGACAGGTTAGTAGGTGGGGGTGGGGATGAGTGTGCACTTTACTCATGCAATGTGGGTGTCATAATGGAGACTGAACTTGCCCCTCCTGCTGGACACCTCAGTGTGCATCAGGAGCAGAGTGTGGAGAGGTTGGATTCTCCTCTCCCATTCACAGCCTGCAGTGGGTCCACAGGCACCAGATCCCACCATGACATCAGAGTGCCGAGAGCTGCAGTGTGGGTGGCACAGGAGAATTCTGGTCTTGGTGCCTGTTCAGCTTAGACCTGCTTTGTGCTAGTGACTGGTGAGGAGGCCCGTTGGGCCCAGCCTGGCTGATCTCCTCTTCATAAATCACAGCTTTGCTGCCTGGCTGCTCCCCCCCGTGCCCCATTCAGTCTGTAAACAGGCACGTGTCACAGCTAGACACCGGGCAAGAGCCAGGCAAGTGCTTTCGATCGGTCATTGACATCGGCAACTGCCTCGTGTTGGATCTTTTGGACCTGCCCCCTCCCTCTGCTGCGTGCATCAGACGATGCTGTGCCTCACGCCAGACTCGCAGGGTGTATCGAGCTGTGTGGGCCTGACTGGTTCACACCGCTGGCAGCAGACACACTGCAGGAAGTCAGAGACATTGTGCTGGAAGAGCTGGCGGCATGGGTGCAGGTACTGGAAGAAGAGGAGCAAGAAGAAGATTGCCAGGCAGTAGCCCACCAACAGCTGCAGCACGAGCAGTGGGGCGCAGATGTAGTCAAACACGTCTGTCTTGAAGAGGTACCAGAGGACAAGCAGGACAGCGTTCTCCGCCAACCGCACAGCATAGTACATGGCCAACCGGCCCCAGTTCTGTGCCTTGTCTATCAGGTCCCGGTCAGCCAGCTTCAGCTGCACGGCCGACCAACAGAATATATTGATGCCAGCGTACAGGAGGGTGACGGAGCACAGCACCACCACAGTGCCCACCCGGCTAAAGTTCTTTTCAACATTGTCAGGCAGCTGGGAGCCACTACGCCAGAATTGCACCCATGGCAGGAAGAAGAGGATCAGCAGGTTGGCGAGCATAATGGGGATGATCCAGTGCTTGAAGACACTGCAGAAGAGCACCAGGACGGCCACACGGGTGGAGATCTCCAGGCTGCGCCACAGGACAATACAGATGAATGCCAGCGGCCGCAGCTGGACCTTGTAGTCGTCGTATTTTATCTGGATGGCCAGGATGTTGCAGACCAGCGCCCCATAGGTGACCGATACCAGGCAGATGCCCATCAGGACTGCTACATGGGAGGGAAGAAAGGTGGTGACCAGGGGTGGTTAGAGGTTACACAGGGCAATGCACACCTGCTCTAGTCCATGCCTTCCCCTCTGCCCCACTGTCCAAGCAGACCCTGGGTCAGGCACAAAGGTCTCGGCATGGACAGGGGCTTGGAGTAGGTACTGGGGAGGGACAACTCATGCCCAATTCAAGCAGGCACTGGGGAGGGATGACTCCTGGAGGGTGGGAGCAGGGGTTTGGAACTGGCACTGGGGCAGAATGGCTCACAGTGGTATGAAAAGGGGCTGGGAACGGGCGAGGGGCAGGGGAGGAATAGCTTGTGGCAGGAGGCAGCAGGGGCCTGCAGCAGCTGCAGGTGAGGGACAGGAACAGTCTGGTTAGCTAGCTCCCAAATGGGAAAGGAATGTCCCAGCTGAGAACGGCCTGGTGAAGACAGTATGTCCTGGTGCCCTAAATCCTCCCCAGCAAGCCTCTATAAGTGTAGCCACCCAAGACCCTCTTCTGCCCAGAGTAAGTGGGAACATTTACATTCCTTCTTACCTGCTGGGTGAGTGGGTGCTCAGTACCATCTACTCCTTCCCCCACCCCACTAATTCAGACAGCTAACAAACCCCATGTCACTCCAGAAAGGAGATTCAGTTGAGCCCAGATACCAGCAGGCCCAGAGCCATGGCTGCCCCTGCGTCAGCTAGGCCTGAATTTGGCTTAAGACCTCTGAGTTAGGGTAAAATTCTGCTCTTGGCTTGGGTTGTGCGGCTGTAACTGGGCAAGATCTGGTGGCCCAGGTGCTCAAATACAATGGGGACCGGTGTGGTATAAGCACCTAGGTAGTTAGTGCAGTAGCAAGGAGGGCAGGCTGCAGGCAGCCATGAATCTTGCTTGGCCCCATTCCCTCTTCTGTCTCTACAACTGTAACCCACTCAGGCCCTGTCCAAACCGAGGCTTGTAACTGCATTGGAATCTGTCATCAGACACAATTACAGTTTGCATCCGCACCTAACACAGCTATAAACTAGGGAAGAAAGTAGCTGCAGACTTGCCACGGGGCAATCTCTGACAGATTCTGCTAGGAGAGTTATGTTTAAGTAAGTCTCTGTCCACTCTTATTTAGTGCCTAATGTCCTGTGAGCCATAGCAAGTCAATGCAGGACATACTTTGTCTCATGTTTCAGCAGTAGCCAGGCAAAGGATCAGATACTATGATATCAATGTACTGTAGTACGTGTGGGAGGAGTGAGCTTTTGTCCTCTGTGTTACAAAGTCAGCCTTTATATACAGGAAACGTAGCTCGCCTGGTCACTCTAGTTCAGCCTGGACAGGGAAACTGTGCTGCAGCCATAAAGGAAAATTGCTTTTGATCTCGGGTGTAGTGAGTAAATGATGCATGTGCTACTGTGGCATGTAGATTCAAGATGTACAGACAAGTCCCCTATGCAAATGCCTGAGCTAGGGTTACTTTCCTGCAGGGCCGGCTCTGGCTTTTTTGCCGCCCTAGGCAAAAAAGCCACCCGCCGCCCACCCCCCAGCGCGGCAGGGGAGGGCGCCGAGCCCGGCCGCGGGCCCGCAATCCCCGACCGGCCGGAGCGCCGGGGGGAGGGCGGAGAGCCCGGCTGGGGCTCTCCGCTCTCCCCGGCGGCCAGAGCGCCGGGGGGAGGGCGGCGAGCCCGCCGCGGCTCTCCGCTCTCCCCGACCGGCCGGAGCGCCGGGGGGAGGGCGGCGAGCCCGGCCGGGGCCCCGCCGCACCACCCCCCCTCCAGGCGCCGCCCCAAGCACATGCTTGGTGGGCTGGTGCCTGGAGCCGGCCCTGCTTTCCTGCATCTGTTGCTGGAATGGCCAGAGGTTTTATTCCAGAGCTTCTCAAAAATTTTCAAAGTGTGGATCACACCTTAATGGAGATTTTCTAGGGGACGCTTTCCCTCACATTCATGATCACACAGCATCCCTGGGCAACTATGGCTTATGTACAAAAGTAATACTAGGGGGGAAAGGTACTTTTAGCTGTCCTGCAAGGAAGGCAGGCAGCACAGTCTGGCTAGTCAGCACTCCATGAACCACCAGCAAGTCCCCAGTGATGCATGGACCACAGTGTGGGACCCAGAGTGTTTTACAGTTACAGAGGATACAGAGTGTGCAGGTAGACCCTGGAAGAGCCTCACGGAATGAAAAGGAGAGTTTCTTTTTGTGCTTTGTGAATAATCTCCTCTTCTTTCCTAGGGAGCAGTGCATTATTTGTGACCTGGAATACTGCTCATTGCACAAAACCTTAAATTGCACGTGGACATGAAGGTCAGTGGAAACTGGGTGTCATTCTCCTATTAATTCACACCCCTTTGGGTGTGTAAGTGTTTAGCAGCTTAAGGCATATGTGACATACACAGGAATGGAAATCTCCACTTTCTGAACTAGTAAACTTTTATGTAAATTAGTGATAAACACCAGTTTTATATCCCAGGTACATTAGGACAGTGGTTCTCAACCAGAGGTATATGTACCCCTGGGGGGTATGCAAAGGTCTTCCAGGGTGTACATCAACTCATCTAGATATTAGCCTAGTTTTACAATAGGCTACATAAAAAGCGCTAGCAAAGTCAGTACAAACTAAAATTTCATACAGACAATGATTTGTTTATACTGCTCTATATACTATACACTGAAATGTAAGTACAATATTTATATTCCAATTGATTTATTTTATAATGCTATGGTAAAAATGAGAAAGTGAGCAATTTTTCAGCAAGTGTGCTGTGACACTTTTGTATTTGTATGTCTGATTTTGTAAGCAAGTAGTTTTTAAGTGAAGTGGAACTTGGGGTATGCAAGACAAATCAGATTCCTAAAAGGGGTACAGTAGCCTGGAAAGGTTGAGCGACACTGCATCAGGAGGTTACATTGTTTACATACATGAGGAATTGGAAAGCTTGGTTTACAACATTTACTGATTATATGCCCAATCCTGCTCCCAGTCAATGAAAAACCTCCCTTTGACTTTAACAATAGTAGGCTCAAGTTGTAATAAATTAGATACAATACTACTATTTTGTGCTTCTAGAGCTTCTTCTATCTGCAGATCTCACAATGCTTCACAAACAGTAATTAATCTAGCCTCACCACACCTGCAGGAGGTAGGTACATGCTGTTATCTTCATTTTACAGATGGGGAAAACTGAGTCACAAGTTAGAGCTTGCTCTAGGTCACACGGGAAATGTGTGGCAGAGCCACACAAGGACCTAGGTCTCCTCCCTTCCTGGCCTGCACCTTATCCATGAGATCATCTTCCCTACCCAAATCCAATTTACTTTACCAGTTCTGGGCCAGGTCCATGCTTAACTTTACTCATGGGAGCAATCCAGTTGAAATTTATAGCCCCCATCCCTGGCTAATGAAATCAACAATGCTGCTAAGTCAATAGGGTTACCATGAATCACACCAGCCAAGGATATGGACCTATGGGACTCCCTCTGGCTGAGATTCTGTGCTGTGCCTCTCAGAGGAGCAGCACAAACTTGCAGCCCAGGGGGAGGGGAGTTATGGTGGTTTTAAGCCACTTTTGGTCCCTCCCCGTCCTGGACCAGTCCAGGGTCTGGAGAGGCCCTTGCAGTAGACAGCTCTGGGAGCCTCTCTTAGTTACCATAGCTTCCCCCAAATCTCCCCAGTGATGCAAGCTGTGGCCTCACCCCAGCACACCCCTCCTGCCCCAGCACAACCCCTACACCCCAACTTACAAGGGGGTCCTAGGAGGTAGCCTCACTTGCTTATCTTCCATAGTGCCCCTACCAGGGGAATCCTTCCATTCTGGAAGCAGGGCGTTTAGGGCCTCTTTACACTGCTCCTGCCCTTTTACGCAGCATGAATGGCTCAAAGCACGAGTGAGGCGCTCACCCTCTAATTCTATTAAATGAGACTGAGACAGTAGCTCTCAGGATTTTATAAGCAGAGAGTCACTAAACACAGCACTCGTACATTAGGAATAGCAACTGATTGGATAAAACCCAATTTCCTCCTCATCATTTATACTATTAGCTTAAATTGAGGTTTATTTTGGTTTGGAGTCTGTTTCCTTGCCTGGATCCTAAGAGCTTTAGTGACTTTTTCCATGGATGTCATATGAACTTATCTGTGGCTGCACCACCAAGACCAGACCATATGGGATGATTTAAACGTGACTACGAAAAATTCTTTTAAAATATACGTAACAGTAAGATGAGCTCTGGAATGGAAACAGCTTCCAAAGGAGACAGAGGCAATAGTATCACATGAAGGGAGATGTTAAAGTCCTACCTCACTATGCCCCTAGTGGAGATGGGGATCTGCTCTTATGGCCTTCAGCCCCACAGTACCAGATCACCTCACATTGGTTCATGGATTTTAGCCTCCCAACACCCCTATGGGGTAGGGAAGCTTTATCCCCAATTGACTGTTGGGGGACTGAGGCACAGGATAGACTGTGACTCTGTAAGGTCACACAGGCAGTCAGTGGCTGAGACAGGAATTGAACCCAGGTGTCCTGAGCCCCACTCCAGTGCCCTAGCCACTAGGCCATCCTTCCCTCACCTACAGGGGTTTACTCTACGAGAGAGAGAGAGTGCTGCATGGAAAAATAAGCCAGGGACTGAACTAGAGATGTTTATTTTCCACCCTTTTTGGGTGATATATCAAGTTTAGAAGACTCAGATCTTAGCTGTACGAGCCAGTGCCGAAGACATCCTATTCAGCAGTGTGCTGCCCTACCTGCCATGGATCTTTTCTCTGGTATGAAACAGGCTCCACAAAGATGTTACCCACAAGTCTGAGTTTGCTACCTAAACATTCCCCTCTAGTGTCATTTGGATACTGCATTGCTCTTCACCTGCTCTCCCAAAGCATGGTGCAGCACTGCTATGTGCTGTTAAACATCTGTTGCCTTCCATTCCAGAGTGGGTTGAACTAGAGGACTAGCCTGTTCTTATGAGACTTCCACTGTGTATTTGCAGACCTAATAGACTTGGATAAGCACTCAAATTTCTGGGCCTGCACCTTGAGCCTCACTGGTTACTACCCATGCTGCCCCATTCCTCCTTTACCTCTGGCAGTGGGGACATACATCTCAATGATGCTGATGTACAGCTGCAGCGTGAGCTGCGGGGTGGAGCCCAGGAAGGCCTGGATCACTGCCATGCGCTTGAAGGCATTGCGGTGTGTGACCAGCTTGCGGATCGAGTGGCCGACCTCCTGCTCCAGCTCTATCTCAGAGCCCTTCCTGAGCTTCTTCTTGCGTGTGATGGTAACGTATGGCTCCTCCTGCCGCCCCGAGCAACAGTAAACCACCAGGGCCTCCACGCACCTGCACAGACAAAGCAGCCCATCAGCTCAGCCAGCCTGCACCCTCACCAGGGACCCCGTCATGCTCCTCTGCAAGTCTCCTTGTCGGTATGCTCCCCAGCAGGAGGTTGTTGATTCCACTCAAGCAGTTTAGCAAGGAGGCCACTAGTGAAGGAGAGCATGGCAAGGCAAACAGCACCCCCGTTCCCAAACCAGGGCTCTATATTTGCATTGTGGGAAACATGCACCCCAAAACACACTTTGCTCTGCTGCAATGCTTGAAAGGAGCAGAGGTGTGTGTGTGTGTGTGTGTATATATAAGAGAGAGAGATCCCCTTCCTAACCTGTTGGCATGACAGCTCTGGTAGCATGGCCTTTTCCCCCAAGGGCAGCATTGTCCATGCATTTTGTTTGATTTACTTTAGCCCAGGGAACAGGTACCCTGGAGTCTTTGCCTCAGCCAGATCCTCACTGGCCTCCTTAGAGTAAGTGAAGGGTTGGGGGAGTGGGGAGTCCTTCTACTTATGCTGTATGTGATAGTTTATGGTTGGTTTTGCCAGCCCTGGAGACACTTCTTACACCGTGCATCTCTGAAATATTCTGGCACTTGGTTTTCTTTGGAAATCCCCATTATGTTACTCTGAGCACTTGGAAGGGTCAGTTCAATATCCATCAAAATCACTGGGGGCAGAGTAAGTTTGAGAGAAAGAGAAATGGTTTGCTGAAGAGAGCTAACACCTAAATATGTTTAGCTTCTAGGACCAATGCGTTCTAGGACCAATAGTGGAAAACTTTATTAGGACAATCAATGGTACAAGAAAAATCGCCATTTTTCAGATCAACTGGAATTAGATCTCTGCACCACTTCTCTTATGGGATCCGAGCCTCGCCTGGTTACATGTTGTGTTGCAAACTCTGAACTGAAGCCACATTCATCCAAAAGGACCAGTTTCCAGTGATCCCAGAGCCAATGTATGACTCAGTGAAACCAGGTGAGACTCAGCGGTTTGGACTCCAGGGCTGCACTTGAAATGGTTTGTAGAGAAGTCTCTCTAGAACGTTCCGAGGCTCCTCTCACTACAGCCACGTGCCTGCAGACGTCACAACAGAAGGCATTACAGGCACTCTACATTTGGCCTTTTGCTGCTGAAATGGATGGAGACCATTTGCAGCAGCATCCCATTGTAGAGAGTTCTGGCTGTGTACTTTCACACAGCTAGAGTCTGCACAGCAAGACGAGTTAGGCATTTGGTGCAAGGTGTGGGATCAGAGAGGGCCTGCATATGGCCTCTACTCACTGGTACAATTTATGCTACCGTTAAAACTGGCAATGGAAACTTAGCCCTAAAATAACTGTCTCATCCTGATCAAATGGCCTGATGGAAGTCCTCAAAAACTTGGATATTCAATCAAGGACAGCACTATCCCATTAGAGCTGAAGCATTGTGTGCTGAGGGACACCCTGATACTCCTCCATTCTTTGCTTCCTGTCAGAGGATGTAGCAGCTCTGAATCTCTGGGGGTTTGTGGGCTCCGCATGAAGTGGAGGGCTCTGAGTTAGTTGTTTAGATGCCGGCTAGATATACCATATTGTCCTGCTTATCTCCTTCCCAAGAATTCTCCATGGAGACGCCTGAACACCACCTGGGTGCATCCCAGGGCGACTGACACCCTCACAGGGGGCAGGCCGGAAGAGAGACACCTAGCCTGTTCCCCAGCCCAGCTGGAAACAGAAACTGGTTTTAAAAGCTTTATTTTTTTTTTTTTTAGTGAGCTCTGATGCAGCCAGCATGGCTTTCCCACAACATAGGGTATGTAAAAACAGGCTGTCTTGCTGGAACAGGCAGAGCTAACACTGGGAGGGGCAGATTCCTGTCTGGAAGGAGGCATCACTGTCATTCTCTAGGAATGAGACCTAGGCTTCTTCCCTTCCGGTTTACTGCACCCAGCTCCTCCTCTCTCTCTTGGGCCTATGGCTACAGCAGCCTGGGTGTCTCCCTGCTCCTAGGATTTTTCTGTTCCAAAACTCACCGATTTGCACCAATGCTCTTCCCTTCATTGTCCCATGTCTCCCCATCTCATCCTTCCAACGTCATCAAACCCAAGGTGACAGCTGCCTTCCCTCAGTCAGAGACAGGACTCCCAGCCACACCTTATTCTCATCTCAGCTCTGAAACAGCCCCAGCAAGATAATTCAACCCCCCCCCCGTGCCATACAGCTGCAACTACACAGACTTCATAAGCCGATACCCTGTCTCTCAATGTGACCAACTAACTCAGAGGGGACAAGAAGTGCAAAAAGCAATCATGAAAAAGGAGCCTTTGTTAGAGAACAGTTCACTGCAGACCTCGCCTTACAGAGAGGCAGTAAGCATTTAGTCTGGAAGGGGTGAGGCAGGAAGCTGCCTGGGTAGGTTCCAGTGGCCACTGTCTTTGGGGGAGATGGCTGGGTAGGAATCCCCTGTGGTTTATTTCCATTGGGGTTAGGAGGAGAAGAGGAAATCTCCAGGGCTTTATTCCTCTGAGCCTGTCCTTGGGTAGAGGAGGAAGAGAGAAAACAGGCACTATTTTGAGATGATGAATGGTCTCAGCCTCATGAGGTTTTGCTAATTTACAGATTCTATTTTTTGTAAGGCAGCTGAATCCAAGCCTAAAACCGGTTTGCTTACTTGACTTTTCATAACTACTCTTGCCTTGCTGTGGGCAGGAGGAAACAGATTGCAATTTCCTGTATAATGCTAAAGAGAACCAAATGCAGTAGCTTGGAGCTCCTGGCACCTATAGAATCAGGTTATCAGGGTTGGAAGTGACCTCAGGAGGTCATCTAGTCCAACCCGCTGCTCAAAGAAGGACCAATCCCCAGACAGATTTTTGCCTCAAATGGCCCCCTCAAGAATTGAACTCACAACCTTGGGTTTAAGCAGGCCAATGCTCAAACCACTGAGCTGTCCCTCTCCACCCCCTATAGCTAGCATGTACCACAGGGAAGGATCTAGGAACTACCCCACGGCTCCTACACCTCTCCCCACAGGGACTGGGGCAGCTAAGAACTTACCCACAGCCAGAGCTGCTACTACACCACTCCCCAGAGAGCCTCTCTAATAACAGTAATATTAGCCTTCATAATGCTTTCCACTGACAAAGCACTGTACAAACAGTAACTCTTGGCAGGGTAGAACTGTAATGGCTGAGAGCTCTATCACAGCCAGTGCTCCTGCATCATCCCCTACTAGAACACAAGAAGCTTCCCTGGTCAACACTGTCCCTGGGACTGACTCAATGTGCAGCTGGTTGACTCAGGGAACAGATCATCTCATCCCTAGTTCATTGGGGTGGCAGGAGGGGAACATGTATGTATTATAGTGGGGATGGGGAGGTATTCATGCTGCTCACCTGATGACAGGCCCCAACTGTAGAATGTGCATCAGTAACACCAGTGGCTTGTCACTGGTCAAATCCCTGTGGACAAAAATGAGGGTCAGCTGGACCATGATGGATGGATACAGCATGAAGAGAATGGTCATCGCAAGCCAGAAGTGATCATCAGAGTGACTGTAGGAGGAACACAGGAACCCAGCAGCCACACACTCGCCACAGAAGAGAAGTGTGGAGAAGAGGATACTGAATGGTGGCTTTGTCTTGGGGGCTACAGGGGGCTCCCCTATTTTTTCTTCAAGTGGGGGTTGGTCTGAACATTCCCCAATGGGAACCTCGCACATGTTGTCCATCCTTGGAACACCAGCCTCTCCAGTCTTATCAGCTCTGAGCTATTCTCCCCTTCCTTGAGCCCCAGAAGTGTTTAATGCAGTGATGAATTAACCCTGTTCCGCCCAGGAGCCTTTAAGAACCATCCTTTTTCAGTGGGCAGGCTCCCTCTGTCTGGGATGCAGCTTGCTACAAGGGGCAATGTGCAGTGTGTGTTGAATCAGTCTACAAAAGAGCATTGACTGTACAACTTCCTCACTTTCAACCCAGAGCCAGGCTGCTTCTACCGGTCACGGGGCAACTGTACCCTAGATACGGACAACAGCAACGGCTGCTAGTTAATGGTGATCCGATGCCAATGAGGAAGGCCTGGGGAGAGCTGTCTTGGCTTCTGTTAAAAAAAAAAAAAAGTGTATCAAATGCAGGCAACTGCACTGGTGTCTCTTCCAAAGGAGCGTAGGGGCCACAGCCTGAGTGGGGAGCTGCAGTGCAGGGGAATGTCACACGGGCTCCCGCCGGCGCCGAGAAGTTGGCGAAGAAGATCCACGCGGGGAAGTTGCTGTTGCTCTGGATTCAGTGCAGGGAGAGGTGCCCGTCCTAGACGGCGCCGTGCAGGTGCCCCTGTCCCGACGCTGGAGGTCTCGGTACACAGCGGGCCCGGCTGACAGGCTGCGCCCAGCTCGCAGCAGCGCCGGGCGGGCTCTCCGGGTCCATAGCGCGCCGCACGACCTGCCCGCAGCCAGGAGCTCCGTGCGCCCCGGCTGGTAGCCGGCCGCGGCGTCCTCACCGGAGACTGGCTGCGCGGGGCTCTGCGGAGGGGGAGAGACGGGATGAGCGCGGGCACGCACGGCAGGAGCCGCCCGCCGATGGCTCACCCTCCCCCGGCACCGCGTGGGCACGGGGCGGGGACCAGCTCCCGGGCGCACGCGGGCACCTCGGGCGAGGCAACCCGCCCTGCTCCCCCTAGCGGGCTCAGCCGCGGCGCCGGACTGGGCGCGCTCTGCGGCCAGGGCAGTAGCCGACAGTCCAGTTCCCTCTTCCCCACCCCCAGCTACGGGGCTCGCCCCGGCTGATGTGGCCCAGCAGGTGTGAGCGCTTCCGTGCGCCGGCTTCCCGGGTCCTAGCGCCCGACCCGGTGCGGCGCCTGGCTCAGCGCCTGGAGCCGGCTGCCGTTCGGACTCAGGGCTGGGAACGGACTGCGGAGCCCCGCAGCGAGTCCCGAGAGGGTCTCCCAGTGGCGTTAATGGGGGGCAGGCACAAAGTATCCCCCACCATCAGCCTCATCGCTATTCTTTCAGTGCCTTGTTGCATGTCCCCCTCCCCCACCAGGCAGAGGGGACCTACACTCGCCCTGGGACCAGTGCTAGTCCTGCTCTTCCTTCCTCCCCCTTCTCTGTTTCTTTCCCTCCCTCCCTGCCTTTTCCCTCTGCTTTCTTCCCTCTGCATTTGTTTTGCTGCACCAGATCCGCGTTCCCACCCCCATGGGTTTCAATTCCCCAACTAAAATGATCAGCAATGAAATAGTTAATGCCGATCTGTAACGTGTAAGCCTCTGTAGGCTTTAGTGTCAACCCCTAGTGAAATGACTGAAGGATGGGGGAGTTCCCACCTCTCGGCAGGGCCGGCTCTGGCTTTTTCGCCGCCCCCGGCGAAAAAGCCAGAGCCAGCCCTGCCCCCGGCGGCCAGAGCGCCGGGGGATGCAGCGAGCCCCGGCGGGGGCAGGGCGGCGAGCCCCGGCGGCCAGAGCGCGGCTCTCCGCCCCCCCCCCGGCGGCCAGGGCGCCGGGAGGGAGGGCGGCCGGAGCCCTGGGGGGAGGGCGGCGAGCCCTGCTGTGGCCCCGGTCTCCCCGGCGGCCGCCGCGCCGCGCCGCCCCCCCTCCAGGTGCCGCCCCAAGCACCAGCTTGGGTGCCTGGTGCCTGGAGCCGGCCCTGCCTCTCGGTCATTTTGTCAGACTCTCTACAGACGGTATTGGTTACGCGCCCTTTGTGTTTGGAAGGTTTTCTTTGCAACTGTGAGGACCCGAAACTTTTTAAAATGAAAACTGAAATTCTGCAGAATCACCATAAACTGTGCAGACCATATAAATGCATCAAGTAGCCAGATGTTTGGCACTATTGTCCTAGACATTATGGACTAGATTTTCAATAAAGTTTAGCACGTTGGGTGTACAAAGCTCCTTTGAAAATCTGGCTGTGATTATGGCTGCTGACTGAGTGACTCTCTCTAAGTACTTGCTGCTTTCCTTAGCTAACTGGCCCAATGCTGCCCTGAAGACCCTAGCTAGGCCCTTGAAGTTAGATTCCTCCTGCTCTCTACCATTCTCTGCACCCTTTCCTCTGCTTTGCAAAGGAGGAAGGAAGATAACAGTGATCTGCCCACAGAAGCTAACATGTGAGCGAAACTCAGCAGATGAGAGATCTTTGTTCTCACCCACCTAGGACCAGCCTACGGGTGTGGAGTTTGTTTGCTGCCTAAGAAGCATAAATTGTGAGGCAGAAAAGTGGGGATCCTTCTAATGCACAATGAGATCAGACCTATTTCCAGAGTTAGTTTCTTGGTGAGGGGAACGGTGACTGAGGAGTCATGGATGTAACCAGGTTCTGTGTTAAGTGTGTCTGGTCTCAGCTGTTCTCTATGTAAGGGGAGGCTGTGTGGGAATAGATGTCACTGAGAAGTCATGGCTGCAGCCAGCATTTGGGTAAGATGAGGTGGGCTGGAGCAGCTGGCCTCTGCAATGGCATGTGAATTCCTGTAGTAAACAAACCAGGTATTTTCTTTTATTCTGAAATCTAATGGGAAACTGATGAGATCTTAAAACACTTTTGACCTGCACCCTCTCCTAGCTATTCCTATGAGCCCACCTGAACCCTCTCCCCTAGCCTATTAAGTAGGGTGTTTTCCCTTGTGTCTCCAGGGTCTCCATATGCCTGTGAGCTGGAGACAAGTGGGATGGCTCCTTGTCTAACATAGGGGGATGAAGATTTGAACCAAGGCAACAGAATAGACCTTTCCCTCCATCCTGCAGGTCAGAGACCCCATACTCTTGCAGTCAGGGCTTGGAGCTATGGAAACTTCACAATTGGGGATGTGGGAAGGACCTGGCGACCAGCACCATGTCCCAGTCAGCATCCCTGACCACTTCCCCAATAACATCAACCCCAAGGCAGCACCAGCACCCCTGAAGCACCTGAATAAGTGGTTTTTCACCCACGAAAGCTTATGCCCAAACAAATCTGTTAGTCTTTAAGGTGCCACCGGACTCCTCATTGTTTTTACCAGCACCCCGTCCCTGACCTCAGGCAGGGATCATTCCTTACGTTCCCAAATGTCTGACCTCTTTCTGAATGCATGAGCACTGATACTGCCATGGGCTAGTCAATAACTGTCAACAGGTCCTCAGAGCCTATATGCACTCTCCTTGTCTGCCAGAATTCAATAGGTGGTCTATGATCATATATACTGACAGCACCTATTAGATGTGACTCAGCCATGGAATGTTTGTGATTGGCCAATTTTTCCTATTTTAGGGAGACCCAGAAGCTATAGGTAGCTTTAAAAGCTGCTTGCCAGACAGTCCCTTTGCAACTAGGCTGCCTTGAAAGGCATTGATCCAAATTTATAGGAAAATAGTAAGCTGTGGTACTGTCCACTGCTAATACTACCTCACCTCCTTCTGTAGCAGCCTTCATCCAACGGCCTCCCTGTGCTTTGCAAACATGAACCCTTACAACCCTTGTGAGGTGTGGTTAAGTAAGTGTTATCCCTGGTATACCGAGGGGAAACTGAGGCATAGGAAGGCTGCCAAGGGTCACTTAGCATATCAGTAGCAGAGCTGGGAATAGAATTTGGTTAGATGTTGGGGGGCTTTCTCTACCATCAGAAGCTTTCCCTCTGAAACGCACAGAAACCAGAGTACTTCATTATTGTGCTCCTTTCTCAATTGGGTGTTCAGCAGGGCTGTGTAGTAAACAAGTAATTATGCTTTCAGCAAGTGGTCAACGTTTTCTCATCCGCTCCTAGGCAGTACTATACCAGACTGCTAATATGGGGTGCTACAAGCATGAGGATGTCAGAAGCCCCAGAAGGAACTATGTTCTATCTGAGAGAAGAGGAAAGGGAAGGCTGGATAGGACTGTTTGTGTCCCAGCTTGCATCTGCAATGGCCTATAAGAGTAATAGTATGGGAAACTGCTGTAGCATCTCTGTATCTACCTCTAGACCTTACTGGGTGA